GATTGAACTCAGACTCTCGCGCTTGCCAGGGAAGCGCTTATTCTACTGAGCCATCTCCCCAGTCCCATTATGTTCATCTTTAAAATGTGGAGGTTCTCAATGTCTTCTGAAGTATGTGGCTCTAAAATTTTATTTTGATCATTACAAGGGACATGGAAAATGCACACAATAAAATTATCTAATCTGGTAAAGCAAATTTATCATGGTCATTTATTAAGTGCATCAAAGTAAAACTAAAATACAAAAACACAAAACAAGATAACCCAAGGTTTACTTCTTTACACAGTGCATGGGTTCTAAAAAAAGTTACAAAAGAAAACTAAAGACTATATCTGTGCCTAGGCTTAGCCTCTACCTATAGGTGAGGATAAAGAAAATATCTTCTTATGAATGTAGTCAGTCTTAACTACAATGTGCCATGACTTACTCCAACCAGTATTTCATCAGGAGTTTACCTTACTTAACAAGTTTATGTCTAGTAAACTGTTTCTTCTTTGTCAAACTGACAGCATCCATTTCAATATGTACTTTTTTGACAATTACTAGGGTACTTTTGCAAAAACATGATGAGTTTCATAGAAAACTCTATTATTACAAATTATGGGGGAATCCAGGACAACTGAAGCAGGTTTCTTTTCTCTGCTTGGGTTCCAGAGTCTTTTCTAGGCACTGATTATCCTAGACACTTCTGAGAGTGAGTAAAGATACGTGCTGACAGTGGCAGTGTCTGTTGATAAGTAGCCAAACAGCTCAAATCAGGTGTACGGTCAGCAGAGCAGACAGTTCTGAATTCCATGTAGAAGCCACATGGTATATCTTGCTGGATCATTCTGTTCAATTATATTTTATTTTCTTGTAACAAAAAACATCATCAACCTATGTGACCTTAAAATGGAGAATGACACCAATAGGCAATGGCATTTTCTAGACTGAAGAATAAAAAGAATTTCAATTTTACTCACTGTGGGAAAGTCTTTGTTTCCTTTTTCTTGGTGTGAAGGGGAAGGTGAATCATTGTCACCATCACACAAACACTGTTTGTATCTTTTTGAACGAGCAGTAGGAATTTTTGCTTTAAAAATAAAGTTTGAAAATAGAGTAAGTGTGCAAAAATTCAGCTTCATTTTATCAGTTTTAGTATTGACAAGATGGGGAGGATAAATTAAGTGTACAATTGTATCTTAATGCTAGTTAGCACATCATTATTATTATTAATTGAATAATATAACATCTATTGAGCATTATCACATGCTAGGTGGCAAACACTTTCTGTGAATCATCTTATTTAATTTCTGTGAATCCTTTGGGGTGGGGCGAGTTCATTACACCCATTTTACAGAAAAAGTCAGGCTTCTTTCAGCAGAGTTCAGGAAGTTTCCCAGTGTCACACAGCTAGTAGAAACCAGCTCTCACTGCAGGACGAGGCTCTTAATCATGACTATAAAGTCCTTTTGAACCTCCTGCTATGGATTTCCTTTCTCCACATTATCATTTATCCTATATCCTTCATCCTTCTGGGATATCTGACCAAGTTAGTTACATGTCAGAAATAAAAGGCATGTAAGAACAAACATAGCACTTTCTAACAGAGTGCTAATAACTCAAATGCAAAATTTCTCTAAGACTGTGAGGCCAGTGCTGAGTCACTGAATCTGAACTTTCTTTCAGTTATGGCTTGGAGAAGGTAAGAAATAGCTGCGACCCTAAGAAAGGCCCCAAACCTATAAATTTAGTATATTGTTGCAAGCAATGAAAAGAGAGAACTCTTTCCCAGTTTTGACCCTGGCCACATGATCTAGTGATTAGTAAAATGTTACACAGTGAGTTATCTTTGGTCTGTCCAATCATATATCAGTAACTCCCCTCTTAAAAATCAACAGGTTGTTGAGGAGCAGGGCAGGAAGGGGCAGAGTGGGACAGGGACTTTTACCCCAGCACTCTCCCTCTTTGCAAGGACTGAGCCGCTGCTTCTATGAGCAAAACTTCAGCTTGAGGAGACAGAAAAAACAACTACCTTTCCTCAACACTTAATGAAATGTAAACTATTGCTAAAATTAAGAAGGTCCATAATATTTTACCTAAAGATTTCCTTGAAACAGTCTTTTCACTATATATAGTAACACTATAATACGTATTACTCATATGTGCAAGTATAACATATCCACTTTACAAATTAATATTCTATTAGAATATTATTCTTAAAAAGTCATCAGGAGCCCAACAGATGTATGTAACATTACAAATTTTTGAAGTAATAAAATCTTACTTAAAAGTCTACCCCACTCCTCACCAACCTGATTTTTTTTTTTTCCTCCATTTTATGTATTAGGAAAAGGGTCTCACTATGAGGTTCAGATTTGTAGTGATCCTCTTGTTTTTAGCTTTCCCAGCACTGGGATTACAGGCGTGCGCCACCATGCCTGGGCTCGGTTGCCAGCTCAGCATGCCCTGGAGGTGGGGCCAGTGCAGCATGCGGGCCTAGAGATCGAACCTTGGTCCCTGCACTTGCCAAAGCAGGTGCTCAGTCCACTGAGCTATTTCGCCGGCCCTTACTCTGCTGACTTCCAAGGGAGGAGTTATTGAAATGATTGGACAAACCAAAGATATTCATTGTGTAATATTTTACTAATCACTAGATCATGTGGTCAGGATCAAAACTGGGAAGAATTCTTTTTATTGTTTGCCATAATATACTATTAGCATAATGTCACCCTTTTCCAGCTCCACTACAAGTAAATTAGTCTACCTAGTTTTAGTTAAGTCTCTATCTCAATCCCAAAGGAAGGGAGATTCATGTTTGATAATGCATGATACAGATTTCATTTCAACATGTAACTTCAACCAGATAGGATCATGTGATCTATAAATTAAATCAAATTACTGATTTCTCATAGTAAATAATCTTTAAGAATTTAGGAAATATCCTCAGTTTTGGAACAATTTATACAATTATGGAGATTTTAATTTTCTAAATAGACACACATCTTACAAAATAGCAAGTAATACTGAGATACATACCAGTGACTGCAGCATTATTTCCATCTTTATTATTGGTCTCACTAGCACCATAGGTTTTTAGTAACTCTTTCATTTTTTCATTATTTGCTTCATCCAAAGCAGTCTTCTGTGTTTGACCTTTTTGATTAGGGTTTGCTCCATGTTGTAGTAGTATCTCAGCTACCTAAAATGTAGTTTTTCAGTTATCTCTACACATAGCTGTTTATGCCTGAAGACACTACTACTATGCATTAGAAATTACTTAAAAGTTTTCAAATTCTAATCAAGAAATTTTGGGACTAGGGAACTAGCTCAGTGGCATAGCACCTGCCTGGCAAATGCCAGGTCTTGAATTCAATTCCTAGTATTGAGTATAAACAGAAAGTTTTAAATTCAACTTGATACAGCAACTGTAAAATGACCCATTGATTTGGCCTGACTGGTCCTCATAAGAGAACCCATAAAAACACACTAACATGAAAGCCTAGTAATATGCTTCCATGCCAGGGAGATAGCTCAGTGGCACAAGCACCACTTGGCAAGAGTAAGGTCCTGAGTTCTAGCCCTGGTACCCCCTACACATACACTGCTGCCTGCAGTGCAGTAATACCTCCTCTAACTTGATTTATATCAGGTATTCTATCACAGTGACAGAAAACTAACACACTGTTAGTTCTATTCGGATATTTCAACCTAACAACCTAATATTCATTTTAATATTCTTCCTGTATCTTCTAAGTAATAGTCCTAATCACATGATATTAAAGATAGTGGGAAACAGACACAATTCACCCCATAGTATGTCCCAGTATTTTTTCTTTTTTGTGTGTGTGTGCAGGGTCTCACTATGCAGCTCAGACTCACAGTGATCCTGTTGATTTCTGCCTCCTTGTTTTTTTTTTTTAAATTTTTTTTTATTTATTTGAGAGAGAGAGAGAGAGAGAAAGAGAGAGAGAGAGAGAGAGAGAGAGAGAGAGAGAGAGAGAGTGTGGTGTGTGGTGTGTGTGTGTGGCCAGCTCAGCCCACCAGGGGGCGGGGCTGGCTGGCATGTGGTGCTGGGGGATTGAACCGCGGTCCCTGATGCTTTGCCAAGCTAGTTCCAAGTAGGTGCTTTAGACCACTGAGCCATCTCTCCAGCCCCTGCCTCCTTGTTTTTTTATGTATTGTTTTTTCATGGCACTAGGGATCAAACCTACAGCCACTACACTAAACTATGCCCCAGCCTTTTCTGTTTTTATTTTGAGAAAGAGCCTAAGTTGCCCAGGCTGGTCTTGAACTTCTAATCCTCCTTCCTTAGCTTCCTCCTTTAGCCTAGGATTATAGGTACATGCCAGTAGGTTTTTGTTTTTCTGTTTGCATACAGCAAGAGAAATTCAGGAGCAAAATGAACCAGTAGAAAAGACAAAGGACAGCTCTTCTTTGTTCTGTCTAGATAGCATACTTGTTGAAAGTCAAACATCCAAAAGTCTTGCCACTTACTGGGTCAGTTCTCAGGCAAGCTGTTTACCATCTCTGATCTCATTTTTTTTTTAAAACCAACCTATGAAGGATAAATTTGAGCTTCTATAAAGTACCTGGCACACAGAAAGCTTTTAATAAAATTAGCTAACTCCTCATTTTTCCTTTAGAGAAGTGAAAACACTAACTGTGGAAACAGTAGATGTACTGAAGCATATGCAAAATTCTCCTGCATAGCTTTCTGATTAAACCTGCATATACATACCTTAGTGATGTCTGAATAAAGACATTTTAAAAGGAAAATTTACTTATTTTAAAAAGAGGGTCAGCAATACATCTATCCAGTTATCTGTAAGCTTGAATTATCACTAAAGTAACTGGTTTTTTTTTTTTTATTAATGTATTTAGTTCAGGGTCTACAGGGTCTCACTACAGATTGGACTGGTAGTGATCCTCTTTTTAGCCTTCCAGGTGCTGTCTCAGTACACCTTGGAGATGGGGCCAGCACAGCAGCCACTCCGCTGGAGATCAACTCTGGTCCCTGTGGCGCTTTAATTTGCTGAGCTATGTGGCTGGCCCTTTGGGGGAGTTTTAAAAAAATACAGATTACTTAGATTATCCCCAAGGATTAACTTTGCAAACTAGAAACCTAAATTTTAATCTTCAGAAATTTTTCCAACTTTCCATGGGATGGAGCATTATTTTCATAAAAAGAGGTTTATCTAGACTACAACTTAAGACCTTACTATTTTTCCTTCTTTGGGCTTTAATATTGTATTAATATAGATGTATTTATTGAATACATTACTTCGGAATACACAAAAGAAGAGACTCTGAATACTCTTTAACAGTTGATTTTAAATAATATTAATTGGAAAAATTCTAGTAGAACAACAAAGTTTTCTAGGGCAGCAAGATACTAAACAAGAAAAGCTAAAGCTAAGGGCTGGCCCCATAGCTCAGCAGATTAAAGCACCTGCTTAGGCAGAGCACAGCAGCCAGGGTTCCATCCCCAGTGTGCCCCGCCCCCAGGGTGCACTGAGACAGAGATTGAGACTGAACGTGATATGTGTGCCTGTAATCCCAGCACTTGGGAGGCTGAAAGCACAAGGATCACTATAAGAAGTCTGATCTATGTAGTGAGACCTTGTAGAGTTGATGATGATGATGATGATGATGAAGAAGAAGAAGAAGGAGGAAGAGGAGGAGGAGGAGGAAGAGGAGGGAAGGAAGGAAGGAAGGAAGGAAGGAAGGAAGGAAGGAAGGAAAGAAAGAAAGAAAGAAAGAAAGAAAGAAAGAAAGAAAATCTAAAGCTAGTTAGGGAGACAGACCCAGGTGATATGATGGGGTAGGCCTAAGGGCCAAAAAACTTGGCAAACATTAAAAATAAGCCTTAAAAAAAAAAAGCCTTTCTGAAGTGGTAAATACTGTAAGCATGACTTAAAACATCCCTTCAGCACATGCAAAAAAAAAAAAAAAAATCCCTGTTTCTCTGCAGTCAAATCTCCCTCTTCCCCAAATTTTTTAGTCCAGACAACCAAGATCTGTTTCTATCATTTAATTTTTTTTCATTTGCATTACAATGTAGTCTTGTTTTTAGTCTCTTTGACTTAATATGTTTTTGAGATTCACCCATACTGACGGGTGAATATAGTCTATTCTTTTTAACAATTCAATGGTTAATTTACCAGGTGTCAGATGCTGGGGTCTAGGTCAAGGCTTTCACATTCTAGTACAAGCTTTGTGTAAACAAAAGAACATTTTATTTCTCTTGGGTAATATCTAGCCAGGGACCAAAAATTCATGCTGCATTTTTGTATCTATACATTTTAATATATGCATGTGTACAGTTTAGTACTCTAGTTCAAACCCAAGTCCTCAGGCTTGCCAGGCAAGTCCTCTACCACTGAATTACATCCCCAGCCCAGTTAGTGTATTGCTAAGGTAACAAAATATTGTTAAGACTATTTTTCCAAGTATAGTGTTATGTATTTTTATCAGAAATCTATCTAGTTGTTACAGTCTCCTCAGCACTTAGCATTGTCTATCTTGTGAATTAAAGCAATCCCAGTGGTGTAACGGCATCTGATTGTGGATTTGGTTTGCATCATCTCAATGTTGAATGGTTCTTGGTCTTAGTACTTCCTTGTCATCATTTATACTGTATATATATTGTGGAAGCAGCTCTTGAAATCTTTTATTTTTCTATTGGGTTGCTAATCTCACTACTGAATTGAAAGAATTCTTTATACATCCTAGATACAAGCTATTATCAGATAAATGATTTAGGAGAAATGTTTTTCCAGATCAGGCTTGTCTTTTTAATAATGTCACTTAGAATTCACATCTCTTATGTTCTATTTATGAAAATTTTGTCTACCTCAAAATTAAGTAGTCTTTTAGTTGTCTACTACTTTGGTCTTTGATCCATTTAAAATTAATTTTTATATATAGTGAAAAGTTTATTTTTACAAATGGAAATTCAAAGACAACAACCCAGGGGCTGGGGAGATAGCTCAGTAGAATAAGCGCTTGCCTGGCAAGTGCAAGGGCCTGAGTTCAATCCCTGGTTCTGCAAAAAAAAAAAAAAAAAGACAACTCTACTTATTGAAAGAATATCCTTTCTCTACTGAAAATGGCTTGTGGGGTTGTAAAAAATCAGGGGACTGTGCTTTTGTGGGACTATTTCTAGATGTTTTATTTTGTTCCACATATGAAACTCAGTAGTTCTTAACTGAAGATTACTTTGTCCTCCAAGATACATTCAACAATGAATGACTGCAGAAATTTTTATTTGTCACAAATGGGGAGTGTGAGTCTCACTGGCATCTAGAGGGTATAGGTCAGAGATGTGGCTAAATAGCCTATAAATTGTACAGCACAGCAACTCATAACAAAGAAACATCCAGCCCAAAGTGTCAGCAGTACTACAGTTGAGAAACCATGGTCTAATTCAAGACAGTAACATACTTCTTGATTACTATGGCGGTAGAATAAACATCTATTCATGACAACTAGTGGTAAGTCTCCTAAATAGTTGTTTTTTTAAATCCTTATTTTAAGCTCTTTGATTCTCATATGAATTATAGAAGCAACTTATCAATTTCTACATGAATTCACAATAATTTGAATTTGTATTGAATTTTTAGGTAAACTTGGTTAGAACTAATATATAAGTAACACTGAGTCCTTCAAGACATGAGCATGGTGTATCTCTCCATTTATTCAGATCTTTTTACAGCAATGTTCTGTAGCATGCTGTGGAAGCAGGGCCCTGCGGCAGTACTTTTGTAGGTGAGATCCTCAAGGAAAAGAAGTCATGTGGGGCAGACAGCAGCTCACAAGGCAGGCCGCAACAAGAGCAGCTGTGACTATATTGTTTATTATTAATCTATGCCACTATCACCTATTTACACTGCCCTCTGCTGGCCTAACCAGCACATGTGTGGGTATCTAAGGCTAATTCATGTTTACATAAGGCTGTCCCACTCTGTGCCTGCACTAGACAGTGGGTTCAAGTGTCCAAGGTAACCTGAGACCAAGTTTTGAAGCCATAAAATCCCCACAATGCATTATAAAGGTATAATGGTCTTGACACATTTATTTTTGTATTTTAGGGAAGGGTCTTCAGGGTCTCACTACTAGATGGGATTTATAGTGATCCGCCTGTTTACAGCCTCCCAAGAGCTGGGATTACAGGCACATACCACCACACCCAGTCTCAAC